CCAGTCCCGCAACATCATTCCTCATTTGACAGGGGCGACTCGCATGCTAAACATACTAAGACTTCCGTCCACGGTGTTCAGAAGACTCTTCATTTTCTCAGCCTGTTGATCGACAATGACTATATCATCTACAAACTCTAAATGAACAAATTTATTCCCAAGTTACACGTCGATTCTTAATTCACTAAAGTCGATTAGAGTGACATCTATTACTAAATCCATGAAGACATCAAACACAAGCCAAGTCAATGGCCATCCTTGATGAACACCAGTGGTTGTCATCAGTTCAGGTAATAACTGTCCCTGATTTCAGCACAGTGGCATGAGTTCGAGTAGAGTGAGGGACTTGATTAGTGCAATAAACGTTTTCGGCACCAGCTTCACAGTTATACAATGCCACAATACTTCTCAGTTGATAGAGTTAAATGCTGCCTTCATGTTCTTGTTTTGTGCTTCATGGTTTAATTACACAGCTTTCATCGCCTCAGTATTCCATAAACACAGGTCAGTCCGTCAAAGAGTAGGGATTTAAACTTTCGATAAAATCGTCACGGTGTTATTCTTCTGTCCTATACAAGCCAAATATCCTGAATAGACTAAAATATGCAGTGGATGGAATTATTCCTTCGGATGAGGCATGATTCAGGAAAAGCAAGTTTTACAGGGACCGAATTGCAACATTTTGCGTCATCCTCAAAGAGAGTCTATAATGTGAGCCAATTCTGTGCCTCAAATTCATCCATATTGAGAAGGTCTTCAATAGCTCTGACCATGAAATAATTTCGAAACTCGTTTGACAATAGTGGACGTGGATTAAGCTTCTTCGCTATTCATTAGCTGCAGAGTTGGTCACGGACTTCCTGGCTATTTATTGGAATTGTGGATATGAGTGAGAGAATGCTGTCTATTATCACCTATAGTGTTGGGGATCCTGCTAGCCTGGATCATATTCGAGACTTTACGTTTTGAGTGGACGTATTCTTTTGACCAGGAGAAAGACTCCTGACGACTTCGAGGACGATTTATGTGTACTAAAACATGAACTTGAAGATATACAGAAAAAAATCCAACAGGTTGGTAGAACAGATATCGAATTCAGGACTTCGGACGAAGATAGAGGAGACAGTAGTGATGAAAACACACAACTAATTGCAACATGCCCTAATTAGCATCAATGGGAGAAATGTTAAAAAAAGTGTTGTCTTTCTCACTTACACGAGTACGACAGCACATTTTCAACTACAAGACTAATGGATGAGAATGTCAAAGTCAGTCAGGTTAGAGAAAGCAAGACAGGTGTTCACTAGTGTGAAATTGGTGTGATGTTCAACAACAGTTAGCACAAAGGATTTTAGAGACTAATGTCAAGTGAATTCTGTACGTTTCAGGGACTTGCCACTCAACTCACCAAAAGCATTTCCATAAGGCTGCCGACTTTCATCAATAACTGCCTTTGCTTTACTCTTTACTGAAGATCATACGATAGGCCAGTAAGAAATGATAAGAAAAACAAGAAATTCTGGCTGTGAAGGAGCCAAGACGCTATTAGCCAACAAATATATAGAAGGAAAAGTGGATGGATTATGTATACGCTAAGGAAACCTTCAAATCACATCAGACTTCACGCCGTCTAGTAGAAGTTGAGTATGGAGTGATGAGCCGGGATATCATGTGAGGGGGAAATGGAAGCTTGTGAGTGGTAGTCGATCCAACTGAAAGGGATGCTAGGGAACTAAGTGGAATGGAGAATTTCAATACGAAGCTTTATGATTTACTCGGCATGGAGTGAATGAAGATTAAGGATTTGTGCTGTAAACTTAGCTAAAGTTGTATGTGTATTTATCGGTGATCAGTTCTGAGTACCCACCTGTCAAATTGTTAAGTGACAATAGCGGTAGTCTAATATCCCCAGTTATCTGATTGAAGCATGTGTTAATTATTACGCATTTGATCCACTCTTAATTATGATATAAAAAAATAAAAAATAGGAGGGATAGCCAGTACAAAATGGTACTGATAATTCACGTTTCCGATAGATTTTGCAATTCGTACAATTAAGTGCAACTTCTTATATGGATTCCTAAAGATCCTGTGTGCGTCGGTGGCACAGTGGTTAGGACTCTCGCCGACCATGCACACGGTTCGGGGTTCGATCCCCTGCCGATGCACACCCGATATCTATTGTCGGCCTGCAAAATTTGGGCTACCAATATCCATGCTGAAAATTCCCTACTTGTACTGAAAATACGGTGTGGCATCAAGCTGAAATCAAACACGCTTACTCCTACCATTTTGGCTACTGAAGGTGATAAAATTAAATGTAAAATCCCGGAATAATTTGTTTGAAGTCTATTTTCCAATAAAAACAGTATGTATGCACACCAAATAACATAGGAAGTTGAAGTAAATCCACCTTGAACTACCCATTTAATCTGTCATAAATGAGTTAGCGCAAATTCGTATATGGTAGGAAAGATAAAAAATATCATAAGATACATTCGTACTAAGTCGCAATTAGAAAATATGCATCTCAAAAGTTTGTGTTTATAACTTTTCAGTTCAGGAGTATGACAGCGGTAAAAAGTTTATGCCCTTTCAATAACCAGATACAAATTCTACAAGTTCTGTCAAATATTTAACTCTTCATGTGGTTAAAAACCTCAAAACCAGGTTAATTAATTTGTCTTAACTTTCATCTTGTTTATGGCTTACATTTCTTGGTGATAATTCTCTTCACTTCAGTGGAGCTTTCATTACAGTTATGTGTTTGACCATTCAAAATGTTAAGACGTTAGTCGTTTGGTAAAAGCAAGATTATACAGGAGAAAAAAAAATGAATATTAATGATGCTTTAATTTATTCATTCTGCTCATCATATATCAAACAAATAATACCTTAAAGAAGCCTAGCCTAGTCAACTAGCTCACTAGTTTTCTAGCCGTTCCCAAGCCTGGGTAAAGAGGGAGCGTTGAGTGTGAAGCTAGCAATCCACCGCTAAATCCTTCAAACCGCTATAGAAACTTCAACACACAGAAAATATATTAAAAATACAAAAGCTTCAAATAAAAATCTTATTCTCCGCTCGAATTGGAGAGGCGAAATGACGTGGGCCGCTGAAAGCCTTCGGGAAGCCAGTCAGTCAGTGTGTCTTCTCTCGATGAAACCAAGAGTAAGAATAGGTACGTGGAATGTCCGTACAATGTACGAGACTGGGAAGGCTGCCCAAGTATTCAAATACATGCGAAGATATGGTTTAGAAGTACTGGGTATCTGCGAAAGCAGATGGAATGGATGTGAACTGACAACACTGTCAACGTGAGAGTTAATAATCTACTCCGGTCACCCAGTTGACAACCACGAACCAATTTCGTCTAGGATCACGATAGCAAGATTCAACCCCAAAGGAAGGAAGGTCACAATTATCATGCAATGCTGCGCACCTACAAACAACGCGGAACAAGAAAAGAAGGAAGATTCTTACAGACAAATACAGACAGTAATGGACAACATCCCAAATAGTGACATCAAAATCCTCATGGGTGATATGATTGCTAGCTAAACTGAGAGCAGATAATACAGAAAGAGAACTCATCATAGGTAGAGAGGTTCTCGCTCGGAGAAATGAATGAGAACCGAGAATTATTCGCAGACTTCTGCTCTCTCAATGATTTTGTGATCGGTAGGAGCGTATACAAACACAAGGATATACACAAAGCCAGCGACACGGTTTTCGCCTGACGGACATACCACAAACCAAATAGATTTTATATCAATGTTGCTTAAGGAAGTGGAGACGCAGCCACTGTGCTGGACACAAAGTCGAGAAGGGGAACAGATGTGGGCTCAGACCATCATCTAAATCAAGGAACCTTCAAGGTGAAGCTGAAATCCTTCAGAACAACTGGAGACAGGCCACAATTCAAGTTCAACATCCAGAAACTGAAGGACAAAACTACAAGGGATGCCTTCGCTACAGATATCAGAGCAAAGTAGGACACACTATATGGCATCATTGAGGAAACATGTGTGGAAGAACTTTGGAATTCTCTGAAAGCGACAGTTAAGAAGACGTGTCAAGACAAGACAAGGCTGCCTATTATCATAGACGATATTGTTAATTTTTGGCGGACCGTATTATGCGTCAGACTGTTGTGGGTGAGGAGTCAGGAATACGCTGGAACACCGATAGAAAGACTTCAGAGAATCTGGATTCTGCAGATGGTATATGTCTAATGTCACACAAAGCCGAAGACTTGCAGGCAAAAACTGGCAACAAACTGGCTGAAGACGCAGCCGGCGAAGACAGGACTCCAGGTGAACATAGATAAGACGGAGGTGATGAAGATAACTAACCACCGCCGACAGCAACAACAGCCAGCACCAATCACCAACAAAGAGAGAGATGTGACATAGGTTACTTCCTTCACTTATCTAGGAGGCCAGCCAGCCAGTCAGAATCGGAAAGGCGAGATACGCTTGTATTCATCAACCTGAAACCAGTTTGGAAATCTTCTGCACTAACTCAGATTAAGAACAAGATTCGGATTTTCAGCACAAATGTCAAGTCAGTTCTTCTATACAGATCAGAAACTTGCACTGTGTATCACGAAAAGGATTCCCAACAAGTTACAGACTCTTGTCAACAGTTGTCTTCACCGCCTCCATACTGAAGACCAAATGGGCAGAAAGAATTAGTACCAAGAAACTCTGGCAACAAGCAAATATGTAGGAGAAAGTAGAGATGGATCGGGCAAACATTGAGGAGGCGGCCGAATGACATCGCACGCCAGGCCATTGCTCGAGTGAAATCCCAACGGGAGGCGAAGAGTGGGTTGTCGATGCGAGGAGGAGATGAGAGACTATGGGAATCTTGCACTCGGCTGAAGAGGACGGCAGAAAATAGAACAAAGTGGAGATGAGTTGTTGAAGCCCTTTGTTCCACTAGGAATACAACAGAATAATAATAAATAATAATATCTCAAAAGAAGAACACAACTTACTACATTGGTTTTATCAATGATTTCCTTCAGTTCTGCTTCTGTAATTGAAGACTTTTCATTTACCAAACATCTAGATTAAGAAGATATCTGCACATTAGTTTCAGAGTTTATTCTTTGTATTCAAAAATAATCGTTTGGTTTTGAATACTATTACCATATATAATTTTGCAGTCCACTAGGGAAAAACAAATTTTCGTTTTCAATTACCAGGATGAACCTTTTTGTTAGTTGTTTATGACTTCACCTGCATATGCACCAGAAAGTTAAGCAAAATGTAAATCATGAATTTTAGTAATGGGAATGCAAACTGTTACCGTATATTATCCATAATGACTGTTTGGTTATTCTCTACTGACTGATTGAAGAACCAACGTAGAACCTTACTTAGATGTGCCGGAAATGTGATGATAGTAATGTAGGCGAAAGTTTATGGAAAAGAGGATAATTTAGTAACAATTAGTGAGTTTCTGAAAAGAACAGTGAATATATCTATGCTGTTGTAAATGAATACTAGTCACTTCATCTGAAGGCTTTGGGATAAACACCCTGACAACTTCAATCAAGCAAACCGTATCTACTTACGTGACTCACATGCATGGCAAATGATATCATGAACTGGTAAGATGTTTCACTTTGACCATCCGTAACTCCCTTCAAACTCAACCTTACATAAAGCAACACTAACAAAAAATAATTTGACATTGCTTTGAGGCCACGTAATCTTATATGGGTAACAAAATAGATCAAGCTATTGTCAGTGGAAGTTCTATATCAATAAGTAATTCTTTCACAGCATCACAGTTGTTTAGTAGATATTTTTTAGAGGTTTATTAAGTGGACAAAAACATAATGCTTACAGTTTAAATAGTTTTTTGAGCAATTTTTCGAATATTAACTAGAACCGGAACCCAGGAAGTTTTTAGTTCACTTCATTTGAACGCACATCTGTTGCCACTGAGATAATAAGCAGGCTCTCTTCACGTTTCACGCTGTATTACGACAGCCCATTCTCGCTTACCGTTTATCAGTTTTCTACGGAGAGTTTCGTCCTTTGTCACTGTCCACTAAATGAACTAAGTTTATTGGTGGTTTTACTACAATATCTTCCTTCTAAGAACACTCCAGTATTGTCCCTTTTGACATTATATTTGTGAACATGGCATGGAAATGAGGTTACATTTAGTGAAGTGACAATTTTGCCTAGTATACTGATCGGTCAGAAGCCCAGAAAAAAGAGAGAAGGTTTGAGGCAAATGGAAAATTGATCAGTTTTCTAGAAAAACTTCAAAGCACGGAAACAAAAATATAAAAACTTTCAATAAAATTAAATAAACACAAAAAATAATGACTAAGTGTTTTAGGCAATTTAATATCATTGAGACTGTCTTAGTCTAATGAGGTATAGTACTGAAAACGTTTTACACAAAATGAACTACTAAATTTATAAATGTGTTCCATTATTCAACTTTCCAGTTTTACAAAAATTTACACTGACTAACGTGCATCCTGTGAGGCGTGAAATTTCACTCTCAATACTGTTTTTTGTTGCATTCAATGACTTCAATCTTGTAGATATTCTGTCATATTCTTCCTGAGTCTTTTTTATATTCCATTTCAGAGTTGTCAAGGTATTAGAAGCTTGGTCGTGTTCTGTAAACATTAAAAACAATCTTAAATATTGAAGTGCTTATTTCATTAATTTTAATAAACTCACGGAGAAAAATATATAAAACTTGTTAATGTTGTTTCTAGTGTACAAACTTTCTAGGTCTTTGAAATGCAATAACTCTTAAAACGTGAAGTAGTAATTAATGATGATACATACCACAGCTTTTATAGTTACTTTAGAGCAGAATCCACATATGGCTGGTTGTTAACCGATTTTTCTTAACGAACGCAAATGAATTAAATAAAGCTACCTTTATTTTTACTTGCTTTAAGAACTGCAAGTGAAACGTCGATGTTTAAATTAGTCTCACTGTAGCTCGGTTTCTAGCGGCCAGGACGCTTTACATTAAATATGATACAACATATATGAAAAATCTACTATGAAATTATTTGCAATAGTACGTAAGTGATCTATGAGACGTGTCCAATAATTGTTCTTTATCTGGAAATGGAGGGTCATCTAATCGGACATAGATGTGATTGAAATCTTAACGTTTTTACACTTTATAACCACTGGGTTGAGGTACAATCTCAAAAGTAACTCACTTACCTGACCTCAGTTTTTCAGTTTTAAGATGACCTTTTTACCTATACTTTGTTAGGCTTAGTTATATTTAGCATTTACTTTGAACTGATGAAATGTGAGGAATGTGTTTGCAATTTTGCTAGCATGTTGCTTATAATTACTACCACTTTATTTTGCTTTTCTCAGAATAAACTTTCACTTGGTTTTCCAGAGTACTACTATCTTCTGAGACAAGAATCGTAACACACTTTATGATCACTTGTAGCTAAGTAGAAGCCAAGGGCAACAAAATTTAAGAAATTCCAAAAATAAATCATTACAACTTTTTCTAGGAAAATTAGTCTGATGCCAATACATGCCCTGATACTTTCTGAAAGAAGGTCACGAAGTCGACAAAGTATTCTAAACTGAAAAATATTTTTAATAAAAGTTAACGCATAAAATTAGTCTTGACAGAGTTCTCGAAATATTGGGAAAATTAAAGGGTCAGAGAGCCATTTTCACAGTGATTGATTCTGTCAAATACCTCGCCGGTTTCAAGTCTAACTTTCGCAGAGAGCTAACCAAATGGTGGTGCTACAATACACTTCAAGAATGCATCAGAAAACTAACCAGTATCATCAAGTATTATTAATTATATGACGTTGATCATAATCTTGTATTTAGGTCATCAAGCATCCTCGATACAGGAACAGTAGAACAACCAAGCCATCTTCTTCTAAGAAAGCTTACATTCTGGATATTAGGACAACTAATTTCCGCTTACAGATTAACCACTCCACATAGAAAAAAGTATCATGAAGCTAAACACAACAGTAGGACTAGAAATAGTGCACCAAATTGTATCGTTGCAAACCTCATTGGTGAGATACTTAAAACTTAAAGGAATAACTAACGAAAACCTTTAGCTTAAACTATAACGGTTTTATCAATCGACCAAGTAAATCCACTGTTCCCAAAGACGTTTGTCCTAATTGATACACTTTTTAAAAATGGACCAAGTTTATAGATGAAAAAGCACTCACAGTGAATGACTGACTGAATTATCCAAATTCACCAGTTTAACTCAAAAGTTGAATCATTCAAATAATGTAATTGGGATATTTCTGAAGCAATGACATCCTACCCATCTGGATGAAAGAAATGTTTATTACGTGTCAGAGACTAGTTACAGAATCACAGCCACCTGCATGTCAATAAATCATGACTTAAAACAGTAACACCTTAGTATTTGGTCACAAGCTAGAGATTTCAAACACGTTGGGGCACCCATACCTTTCTGTGAAGCAACAACGGTTATGTTTACTACTGTAAGTGACTTCGTAATCATATTTAAAATGCAGCAGTGCATACAAGTCACGAACCCTTGCCTTAGGATTATCAAGTTGAAGCTCTTATTCTGACAATATGATGAACAGTGAGGAGATATAATTATTATGGGAACTGTATTAGATAGTGATTATATACCTAATCTATTTTGAACTTCTCTAAAACTCTTTGTGCTAGTAACAATCACATCCTCAGGGTCTTCAGTTCGTCAAAACGACCAAATAAACTCCCAAAATTTCACCTTAAAATAATCCTAACACCAATTGTATTTAACTGTACTGCTCCTCAGAGCATATTTCTAAAAAGCAAACATTCTAAATAATGATAAATGTTTTGTGATCACAAACTATAGTTACTGATTATCGGGGCACTGAAAAAAAATTGTCTTAGGCTCAGCTAGTATAGTGTAACGTTTAGACAACAGAACCTATTCCTAATGATATTACTAAAACATTTAAATTACAGAAAAGATATAAAAAGCGTTTCAATATCTTTGGCCTCTAAGTTTAAACACTTTCAGTAAATATTAGGCCTACATTACTCCTCCTGATTCGCTGCACAGTGAAGGTTCATTCTTGCACTGAATTTTCACAGTATGTATTTACAGTAATTTATCTACCTTAAACCCGCACAAATGTGTAGGAAATAATAGAAAATGAAAAGACAACGGGAATAGTGGATGTAAGAAAAAGGGGAGCTGAGGAAATATATGTATAATTGAGAGGGGAAAAGTCAAATGTCTTTAGGTGCAATCAATTAAGTACGTGGGTGAATTAAAGAACCCTAAAGGTAGTCTCCAAACAATAAAAATTACCTTTTTGAACAACAGAAGGGATTTCACTTATGCAAAATCTCCCTATACGATCGAAACGCTTTACAAGTGTATAAACCATTTCCCGATTCTCTCGGATCTTGGATTCTGCTTCTGTCAAATCCAGCTCGAGATTTTCAAAAACCTCGACGAGCTTTTCGATAATCTTACTTAACTATCAGCGGAATAGACATAATTACAGATAAAAACTGTTCGTTCGATGTGTTAGACTTTTGGTTATTTTCATCTGTAGTGACATCTTCCAAATAATTAACAAGCTTGATAATCCACTCCTGATATAGCTGATGACAAAAACTGAGTATCTAACCTCTCCGATAACCAAATATCTGATAGGATTTTTCAATGATCCTGGCATTACAACTCAAATTCGCCCCAAAATTCACCTATGACAGTCAAGGTTATTTCAACGCTTTCAATCTTCAATTTTTATATGATGCTAAACAATAACTTCTGAGTGAAATGAAGTAGCAGGACCAATTTTCACGGCAAAGTTATTTCACCAAAGTCGTTATCTAGGTGACAGTGCCTACTAACGTTGCGAATTGTTATGTGGTAAAGTGTTAGTAATGCTCCCAGATTACGGATAGTTAGCACAGTCAGCCTTAGGCCTATATAAGACTCCTAGGAGCTTCCGAAGTTTTGATCTTGTTTAAATAAATCAGTGGAAGGTGCTGTGGTGGGGAATTAAAGTGGGTCACAATTACACGCAAAAATGAACTTTCACATGTAAGTGAACTAAGGCAGAGGGTAGAGGCACAAATCAGCCAACTGCTGCTGCTGCTAATACATTAGTTCAAATGTTAATTCGATCATTTAAGAGCCTACTGATTCGAAATGATATGCCACAGTGGCGTTACGAGAAACATAAGAATAATAGACTACTTGTGATAAACGTAATATATGTTTCGTAGAGCACTTGAAGGGCCTAGGATACAAACAGAAGTTGTGTATTTATGCAAACTACTTTTCCTAGGCTTAATTTCGCTAATCCATCACGGAAGGACAAGAGTAAAACTAGGCTATCTATTATCATAGACGATATTGTTAATTTTTGGCGGACCGTATTATGCGTCAGACTGTTGTGGGTGAGGAGTCAGGAATACGCTGGAACACCGATAGAAAGACTTCAGAGAATCTGGATTCTGCAGATGGTATATGTCTAATGTCACACAAAGCCGAAGACTTGCAGGCAAAAACTGGCAACAAACTGGCTGAAGACGCAGCCGGCGAAGACAGGACTCCAGGTGAACATAGATAAGACGGAGGTGATGAAGATAACTAACCACCGCCGACAGCAACAACAGCCAGCACCAATCACCAACAAAGAGAGAGATGTGACATAGGTTACTTCCTTCACTTATCTAGGAGGCCAGCCAGCCAGTCAGAATCGGAAAGGCGAGATACGCTTGTATTCATCAACCTGAAACCAGTTTGGAAATCTTCTGCACTAATTCAGATTAAGAACAAGATTCGGATTTTCAGCACAAATGTCAAGTCAGTTCTTCTATACAGATCAGAAACTTGCACTGTGTATCACGAAAAGGATTCCCAACAAGTTACAGACTCTTGTCAACAGTTGTCTTCACCGCCTCCATACTGAAGACCAAATGGGCAGAAAGAATTAGTACCAAGAAACTCTGGCAACAAGCAAATATGTAGGAGAAAGTAGAGATGGATCGGGCAAACATTGAGGAGGCGGCCGAATGACATCGCACGCCAGGCCATTGCTCGAGTGAAATCCCAACGGGAGGCGAAGAGTGGGTTGTCGATGCGAGGAGGAGATGAGAGACTATGGGAATCTTGCACTCGGCTGAAGAGGACGGCAGAAAATAGAACAAAGTGGAGATGAGTTGTTGAAGCCCTTTGCTCCACTAGGAATACAACGGAATAATAATAAATAATAATATCTCTCCACTCTTGCGGCATTTAAATAGCCGTAGACCACTTTATCTCACACTTATATGGCGGAAAATATTTGTAGCTAATGCGTTATACTGCATATAACGGAATAACATTTTATTGATGATTGTTCGACGGCTAATTTCTACTTAACACTAGTGAATGCTGATAGAATACGCAACCGGATCTAACATAAATGGACTTTTTCATGCAAGGCTTGATGACGCTTCGAGGAAATAATAACGGTCTGGAATTTTGAGGTGTTTCACGCAAGTATCACTACGCTTTTTATCATTCTCGTGAAATATCTGATGTCCTCCAAATAATAAAGAAAAGAGATACATATAGTCCCATAAACGCATATATACCACGGAACAACATTCAACCAAGTTAAAAAATAATTTGGCATGAAAGGCACATACTTACATCAAAAAGTGTTTACAACAATTGACTTTAAAAGTCACAGTTGAAGATGGTCTATAGCTGAACTACAGTCATCATAAATTCTACTAATCAGTTCCCCTCATTTGGTAATAGTGTCGCACCAGTAGTGGAATATTTCATCACCACCAGAAGACTCCGGATATGATGTTTGCATGCAAAGATTGAGACTGTGTTCCCTCAGCTAACTGCGGCTATACTGCAAGGCATCTGTGGATGTATACATATCGGGTGAATCAACCTTACCTCTGGTGAACAGTCCCTTAGGCACACTGAATATGTGAACAAGAGAGGGAACAATCATAGAATTGGCGGAGTTCCATAGATTAGTCGTCCATAAATTCCGTGATAAACTTCAAGATTCTTAGAACTTCAGAAGTATCTATCTCACTTCTCTTCTGCAAAATGCAAATATTACAAAAGCACCTCATTATCGATACGTCAAAACAAGCTGAAAAATACAAAATCCTCAAACTATGTACTTCTCTAATTTGCCTAATAACATTCGTTTAGCAACCGGATTCAAGACACATCACATTTGTGAAATTTATACATATAATAATTGGATGCCTGAAAAATATAATATCCGTCTGATTTAATTATTATTTCAAAGGGCAATGCGTATTGGCCGAAAGGTTTATGCAAAGGAAAATCTACCAATCCCAATCCACATAAGTGCCCCTCAGGTGCTCAGCCTACCCATAGGTTGTTCGTGTCTATATCCTCTTTCGTGAATAAACCGAGGTATTTGATCTTTAAAATGATGTGTTTTCAAGTATTTATCAACCAATCCGTTACTTACAATACAGAGAGATAGTGTGAGTCCACTGAAATTCCATCCCAAATACGCCTGGCCAGTTCCATCCATCTTGAAATGAAGAGATTGATAATTAATTGATGCAACTATTCTGATATACTGGCCTCCTATTATAAATATTGGCTGGTTACTTTGATATTTCGGATGAGACTTAATAAAGGCGGGGTATCATTTACAAAATTTTTCCACGTCAAATAAACAAAATCACCTATCATATTCGGGAAGCCTTTCTCAGCGCCTGCCTTACAGTCTGATAGGTTACAAGGAGCAAGTTCAATAAC